GGAAGGGGGGGGGGAACCGTTACGGTTCCCCGTATTGGAGGGGAGGGAGGATGGAAGGTTGGCAGAACTGTGGGCGGCTGGATTAGCGGCTGCTGATGTGGCGTGGGGCTCGGCTTAGTGAGGCGTGATCTTAGGCCCTCATAATGGGCGTCTAGGTCGACGTGGCGGTTGATGCTGTCCGCGTTAGAGTGCCATGCCTCTAGGAATTCTCTCGCCCGGTTTGTGTTGGCCGTGGCGATGACCTCGGTGTTATTCCAATTAAAACGGTGGTCGCACTGGAGTGCGTGTGCAAAGACGAGGGACAGTGGATCACGGCGACGGACAGCTAGTTTGTGTTCATTAATACGAGTTCCCAGGCGTCGTCGTGTATGACCAACATATACGCAGGGCCAATGGGCACACGGGATGCGATATATGACGTTAGTCTGTTCCTCTTTGGTCCGTGATCCACTGTCCCTCGTCTTTGCACACGCACTCCAGTGCGACCACCGTTTTAATTGGAATAACACCGAGGTCATCGCCACGGCCAACACAAACCGAGCGAGAGAATTCCTAGAGGCATGGCACTCTAACGCGGACAGCATCAACCGCCACGTCGACCTAGACGACCATTATGAGGGCCTAAGATCACGCCTCACTAAGCCGAGCCCCACGCCACATCAGCAGCCGCTAATCCAGCCGCCCACAGTTCTGCCAACCTTCCATCCTCCCTCCCCTCCAATACGGGGAACCGTAACGGTCCCCCCCCCCCTTCCTACCCTCCCGGCTCAGAGCCTAGCATGACTCCCTACCCGCATCCCTCCTCACACGCTAATGGTTCGTCCGTCAATGTTTGTCTGTCTCGTCTATTAGTCTAGTGTGACTGTCTCACTCTCTCTTTTCTCTTCATTTCGTCTGACGACGGGTTGGTGTCACCAATTCGAAAATTCACGAGTACAACTCGATTTTTTCCGAAGAACCTCTTCCTTTTTCAAATATATATATATATATATTCACCTGATTATTCTCTGGAGTTCATATACCAGAAACCGCTAGAGAACGCTGGGGGTCCCACTGAAGAGCCGAACCCCTCGCAGCTGTGTCACGCAGCGGCAGAATATCGGCGAAACACGTGTCTGGGCTTTTATCAAGTATCTATGTCGGAAATACGGTATAATACCTTTAACATATATATATATATATATATATATATATATATATATATATAGGCAGAATGGTATTGCCGACGAAGACAAGGGAGACTGGAATGGCCATTTCTGGCTTATTAGCCGTCGTCAGCCAGCCATACCCAAGCCCGAAGTGTGGAACACCCGAGCCTCAAACTCGCGACCTGTTGGTTTAGAAGTCAACGCCTCTACTCACCGGGCCACGAGCCCGTTGCCTTGTCGGTTTTCGATCGGGAATATACAATGTTAGGGGGCGCTCACCGATCGCTCATAGGGAACTCACTCGTTCCGTTGTGCCTTAAGGGCTCTCTCTCGAGCCCAACCAGCAGCCGCACAGCGGCGCATGGTGTCGGCAATACCATTCTGCCTATATATCATGCGCCGCTGTGCGGCTGCTGGTTGGGCTCGAGAGAGAACCCTTAAGGCACAAATGAACGAGTGAGTTCCCTATGAGCGATCGGTGAGCGCCCCCTAACATTATATATATATATATATGCTGGAAAACGGGCATCCCAAGAAATTTAATTGAAAATAAGTAAGATTCTTTGGGAAGGGAATAAACTTTAATGGGTAAATTTTCGAGTCTGGTTCCCCAGCTCGTCGTCAGACTTTTGGGCAATGAACAAAAACAGTTAACTATTTAACCGTGTCAAACAAGTGATTCTATGGTTGGCCGAAGTCTGCGCCAATGCGCGTCAACGATTTCGTCATCCCTTCGGCATTGGCTGCGCTCGCTTCCATTTGTCCTTGAGAAATTTGTATGTGGCATCTAAATCGATATGCCGATTGATGCATGCCTCATCTGAGTGCATTGCTTCCAGGAATTCGCGGCCTTTCCTTATTGGGCAGGCGCTAACAATGCGAGTGTTCTCCCATGCAAATTTGTGTCCAGTGTCCAGTGTGTGCATAGCCACCTGGGATAAATGATCTCGTCTCCTCACCGCTAACTGATGCTCATGTAAGCGGGTAGAGGTGGATTTCCCAGTTTGGCCACAATACACGGCATCACAACTGGAACATGGTATCTTGTAGACAACACCTTTCCTATCAAGATAGCCAACCCTGTCCTTAGGGTGTACAAGCTGTGTACGCAAGGTGGTTGTAGGTTGGTGTGCTACGTGTATCTGATGCTTTTTCAGTTGTCTTTCGACAAGTTCAGATACATTTTTGATGTATGGGAGGGTCCGCCAGGTGAAAGTTTTTGGTGCTTGGGTGGCCGCTGTTTTCGAAATACCTTTCTGTTTAAACTCATGTTTCATGTAATGATGCACAAAGTGGCGCGGGTAGCCGTTGTGGGAAAATAATTTGAAGAGGTATTTCACTTCTGCTTGATAACTTTCTTCATCAGAGCAGTGTGTTTTAGCTCGGTTTAGTAGGCTGTAGACGGTACTCCTCTTGTGAGTGATGGGGTGGTTACTCTCAAAGTGTAGGATGACCTCGGAGTATGCTTCTTTGCGATAAACTGAAGTCTGAAGGGATCCATCAGTTTTTCGGCATACGAGGACATCTAGAAATGGGAGCTGTCCGTCAACCTCTGTTTCAAATGTGAACTGAATTCCTGGAAATGTGGAGTTAAGATTCGTGTGAAGTTGGTCTAATTGGTTTCTCTTGACAATGACAAATGTGTCATCAACGTAGCGTAGCCATAGTTTTGGATTAATTTTTTGGAAGGGCTATAGACTCCAGTTTCTGCATTATGGCTTCTGCTAGAAAGTAAGATATAGGCGAACCCATAGGAGCACCCTTCAGTTGCCGATAACATTGTTTGGTGAAAGAAAAGTTGGTTTCTAGACAAACATCAAGAAGTTGGAGTAGAGCGTCGGCAGGCACATCAGTGGTGTAGGTCTGAAGGAGTTCTTCGGTGCAGTGTCTCGCTAAATCTAGTGGAATCGAGGTGAAGAGGGAGACTACATCGAATGAAACCATTATCTCGTCGGCAGCAACAGTCACTCCTTTTAATTTGTCTAGGAACTGATTCGAATCTTCAATGGAGTTCTCAGAGACCTTTGTAAGTGGATGCAGATAGTGAAATAACCACTTAGAAATCTTGTAGTTTGGTGCACCGATTAAGGAGACTATCGGTCGCAGTGGAATACCTACTTTGTGAACTTTAGGAAGTCCATATATTTTGGCAATTGTGGGTTCGTCTTGTTTTAAGGATTTAGCCAGAACTCCTGAGATTAATTTCTTTCCTGTAAGGCGCTTTAGTGTTTTCTCGATGCATGAATTCTGCGATTTTGTGGGGTCAGCATCTAGGGGTTCGTAGGTGGATTCGTCTTTTAATAGTGTCATCATCTTCTCTGTGTAATCCGTCTTGTTCATTATGGTGGTGGAGCCTCCTTTGTCAGCGGGCAGAATGATGATGATGCGTACACAGCTTGTACACCCTAAGGACAGGGTTGGCTATCTTGATAGGAAAGGTGTTGTCTACAAGATACCATGTTCCAGTTGTGATGCCGTGTATTGTGGCCAAACTGGGAAATCCACCTCTACCCGCTTACATGAGCATCAGTTAGCGGTGAGGAGACGAGATCATTTATCCCAGGTGGCTATGCACACACTGGACACTGGACACAAATTTGCATGGGAGAACACTCGCATTGTTGGCGCCTGCCCAATAAGGAAAGGCCGCGAATTCCTGGAAGCAATGCACTCAGATGAGGCATGCATCAATCGGCATATCGATTTAGATGCCACATACAAATTTCTCAAGGACAAATGGAAGCGAGCGCAGCCAATGCCGAAGGGATGACGAAATCGTTGACGCGCATTGGCGCAGACTTCGGCCAGCCGTAGAATCACTTGTTTGACACGGTTAAATAGTTAACTGTTTTTGTTCATTGCCCAAAAGTCTGACGACGAGCTGGGGAACCAGACTCGAAAATTTACTCATTAAAGTTTATTCCCTTCCCAAAGAATCTTACTTATTTTCAAATATATATATATATCAGAGGGGAGACGACAGAGTCTGGGGGTAGATTGATACAGCACTGTTTCGGGCTTGTTTGCCTTCATTCAGCCAATCATAACCCTGACCACCAGCAGCTGGTACCGGAAACACAAACATGCGCTCAGACGCACCTGGCGCAGCTGGTCCACCACTGGGGTCTACCAGATGGGTCATAAGCACTTCATCGAACCGACGTAGACGCGGAACCAGTTTGCTTAAATATAAACCGATGTAGACGTAAGTCATGACTGCGCCCAGTGATAGAGCCTGTCACTGGCACTGATCTAACTGCCACAAGCTTGGCTGAAGTGTATGGGCTGTTGATCAAGTGGGCGTCTGACGACTACATCTTTTGCACCTCTGTTATTGCGTCGGTACCGCTTCGATCTATAATCTCGACAGTGCCAAAGTCAAAATCTTGGCCAAGTAGAGCCAAATATGTCCCTCGACCTGACCTGGTTGGAACCCGTGCGCGTAATAGACAGTCCACTTTCCTGACCTCTGTCAGTAATGCATACATATGGCCATATTTTATCTTTAAAAGGAAAGCGGACGTTTTACGGGAAAATACGCATGCTACTTACAGAGCGATTTCGTCACTGATGAGTTCGGAAAAGGTTATCAAGAAGATGCATGGCAAATGCTGACACATCACTCTGAATCAGTTATCTAAAGGTCGCCTTCCTTGCTAATCTGCCTGGTAGCTCATACAGGACAATCCATCCTGTCTGAAAGTGCAGTCAACAATTTCAGTCTATGGATCGTTACTTCATGACACGAAACCGTTCAGTAGTCTCCTGGTCTACTCCCTCAGACACTCTTCCTTTTTGTACTGCATGTAGCTAAAGAATCAGTGGGAGCAATGGAATTATCTGCGCGGTCACATGGAAACGCCTCCAGTTGTGCCTGACACTTCCAGACGCCCAAACGATGGCCGTCTGAGCCGAATCTCTGGATTTGCTTCCAGCTTCTTCGCCAGTACCGGTCGGCGTATACAACAGCATTCCAGTCGTCAGGTTTCATCCAAGGCCCACAAAAGCGTCTCCCACTACGGTGGAGCCTCGAGTTTCACAGCTGAACACAGCAAAACTGGTCGCAGTTTCCTCGAGTCGGAAGATGAATATGGACGTCAGTGGCTGGAACAGGTGTACCGCTGTGAGTGCGAAATCAAGGTGCTTGTCAGAGAACTACTGGCCGCCGGAGAGAGCCTCTCATCCATCTCAAGAACGCTGTAGGAATCATGTGGTTTAATTGCACACACTAGCGATTGCCGGTTCTGGTCTTTATAAAATCGGACATGCGACATGTTCCAACTTGTTAGGAAGTATATGCTGACAATTAAGCCATCAGACGATCACTCACATGGGTAGCAAAGTTAACCGTGTATGTGCGCGTGTGTGGTTTTGCGTGTTTCAAGTAAATCCGATGAACGCAGTGAATAAATGTCGGTGACACATCTAGGATAATTTTGTATTTCCGTTCTAACTTGTTCTCCAAAACGCCTTATAAAGGCAGAAGCGGGTTTGCCTAATGTGGCGGCTCATGAGTGCACAGGGCAACAAGATATCTAGACTCTGTTTAGCAGAAGTATGGCTTTTCTTGCTCCCATCATGTAGTAGATGAGCGCTAATCAATTTGCGCCTGAATCTCGACCGGTAGTTTTGGGGCGGTGTCCCATTTACTCATTGATTAGCGTCTTGGTTACGTGTACAGTCACAATATCTAAATATTTTAAAATGGTCACGATTATACCCACATGTAGACGACCGACAAATGACAAAATGGTATGCTGTTTGGTAAAATCTCCAAGTCCACTTCGACATTTTGGAAATTAGATCGCGGGACGCTAAGTAAAAAAATTTTTTCAATGTACCGTTTCCACGTCAACCCCTGACAAGTGCCCAAGGTCATATAATTGTACTCCGCGCGGTCAGTCAGCGTAGCGAGTTGATTGGGTGCTTGTGGGGACCTGTGATTGGCTGTACGTGCGTATGCTCCGGCCGCTCGGAAATCGTGATCCCATGATTCCTAGCTTGGAGTAGGTGTCAGAGGCGATAGACTTACACTCACCGGCTATACTGCAAGTCCTAACTGTGCAAATTAGCCAGAATTATGTGCATTAGTCGGATGAACGTTTCCTCAGCGGTGTCTGATGTTTACTATGATCTTAAGCGCACACCAAAGGCGAAAAGCCCTGTAAAATCTACAAAAGCAGTGGAAGCTGGCAAATGAAAGTGTTATTCCTTTCTTTCCTTTAGTTTAGGCTTCGAATTTCTTCCTGTCTGCCAATAAAATACCGTATTACGACTATGTTCAAACTAATAATTTGTAGAGTTTAATGGGAAACATTTTTTTCTTTTGATATGTGTCGAGGGAAGCGACGTCGCAAAACACTGTTTAAGTTTGCAATGACTCGTCTTCGAAGATGGTAAACACTAGCTTGCAAAAAGATAAACATTGTAAAATTTTTGGCGGACACGTAAGCAGTCAAACCGAAACCCTTCAAGCCTCCATAGGACTCGTCAGCCACGCCTTCTTTTCCTTTTAAATCCATTCTGATTTATAGCCAAGGGGAAGAGTTCACAAATTTTCGTCCTGAAAATGTTGAGGCCATTATAGAAGACCTTCAAGCCAGAACGACGGCCTCCAAGTTCTTTCAGACCCACCGTCACCGCAAACTGGTAGAACGATGGTCAGAAATCACGCAACGGTCCCCCTCAACAAACCCACAATACTTCAACATCAGTCGTCCGGATTTGGGCCTCCTTTTGACAAGTAGATCATCCAGCAACAATTCTCATGTGGAACGGTTTCTCGAAACTGAGGCCTCCGTGGAAGGGACCGACCTCTCCGATAGAGACGGGAAGTCCGCTCCACCCAGTAGACAAGAGGAAGAAAATATCCCACTCTCTTTTTCGATGTATGAAACACTTTTTTACTATTAGGGCGAAAATTTAAGTGCTCTCCAACAGTGAAAGCATTTTTTCAAGGCAGTAAAATAGATTTATAATGCTATTAACTCTGGGCGTTTCGAAAACTGACATTTTACCCACCCCCACGTTGTTTACACTTAAACAAAGGGAGTTACTGAATATTCTATGCAGCTGACACTAAGACTTTTTAAAGTACTGGCCCAGAATTTTTAAATGTGCTTCAACATAGAACATATTGCTTGCATGGCACTGCAGGCTGACAAGAAACCTCGTCACAATCTTATTCATTTGGGGGATTTCGGGTGAGTATCTCTCCCATTTCACCCGTATAGATTGCATTCGGAAGAAACGATTTCTTAATAAGCGTACATTCTTTGGTTTATTTTCCATGCTTGTTTACATTTAGTTTTAATTTCTGAAAAAAGCTCGCGAAAGATCTACTTGTTCCGCTCAGCTTGTTGGAAAGTACGCCTTCTCCGTAGTCTCTACTTGAGTAAAGGGTGTATTTCGGTTTTCAAGGGTTTACTCATTCCTGTACATTTTGAAAATCAAACTGTGTTTTCCATTATCTTGGGGTCCGCAAACTGCACGACATCGATCTTATCAGGAGGAAATTCAGGCTAGATCGCAGTTGGTAGCCAGGCCCCGTATTACAGGTGGCTGGGGGGTTTGTTTACTGGGGCTATTTTGTGGAGCTCTATAATCACATCTGACCCATTTGGCTTCCGTTTTACGTTTGAGGTTAGTATTAGGGTATCGGTTAATCGTTTCCGATTTTCGGATTAGGGTTATGTCTTTAGGCTTAGGTTTTCGGGTTACGGTTAGGGTTTGAGCGTACGAATAGGTTTCAGTATTACGGTTAGGTTTTCCAGTTACAGCTATGTCTAAGGGCTACAGTTACGTTACCGATTTCGGTTAGGGTTCGGGTTGCCGTTAAGGTTAACGTTTAAGGTTGAGGTTAGGGTTAAGGTTGGGATTAGGGTTAAGGTCGCCGCCCGCTTTCCCATTCCTGGCTACGAACTGCAATCTAGCCGAAATTCATATGTCTCTAGGAGAAGGACACCTAGGACTCACAAGTACTGTCGTATCTGTGCAGCAATGATGACACGGAAGGCCGGATAGACATTTCTGGTTTATCGGTCGTCATCACCCAGTCATACGTTGACTCCCCCCCATTATAATGATCCTAAATTCGGACCCAGACTCTCTTATCATTGAGTGTTCTTATGTCCAACGCTCGAGCACTGAGCCACGGGCCCACCGTCAAGTAGGTTGCAATCGGGAATATTGATTAATGTGGGAGGTGCGCTCACGGATCTGGTTACCGTACAGAACTCGCCTCTCCCTCCCCCCTGTACCTTGTGGCTCCATCTAAAACCATCTAAAGCAGTCGTATAGCACCATGTAATGACGCAGAGGGAATACCAAACTTGGACTTAGGTTACGGTTGCCCGAAGATGGATAATAAGCCAGAAAAACACCATTCCATTCTGAGAGAGGGGAAGGAAGAGAGGAACCGGGAGAAATACGCTTTATTTTCAGCTAAAAACATCCTTAAACCACGTGGCCAGATGCAGATAGGTAGATAATGAAGGAGTAAGTAGGTTTGTGAAATGCTGTACAACTACTATGGGGACAGCTTGGGTCTCTTTACACGTTAATAATCGTGTCGAAGATGGCAATACTGAGAACTGGTATGCCGATGTACGGCTGGAGATAAACCAGAAGCCACTGCGTATTGGGCGGAAAGACTTCGTCTTGGCCTTGCTAGCTCACTTTCTGCATCAGCACTGGTCGTTGTGCGACCGCCTGTGAGGGAGTGTGGTAGCTTCGAGATTGAACATGTCCAGTACTGTAAAGTGTACCGCGAAGACAGCCTTTCCACGTCGCACGTAATGTACCGGACGGCCAAACGGACCAAAAAGCATGATCATCGCAAAAGTGCTGACATCCAATACAGAACCCTACTATGAGCGCAGACTTTAAGGACAACGTATTCCCCCATGGATTTAACATGAGGGACAACTTGCATGAATTTCGGAAAGCATCAGTGAATTGGTTCGGGTAAGGAACATTGACTTTAAAAAAACCGCATTACTATGGAGTGTGATTCAGCCGGGTGCTTAAAAACAAGTCTGACTAAAGCCAGAATGTAACCATGTTGAAAATTATTTTTGAATGATTTTTCATGCTACTTGGTCCGACAACTTCACTTGGGCAGCTTTTTCTCCTAAACAAAAGCATTCCAGTTCTTCGCCCATTGTTTCACGAGTTCTAGTGCTCCCCTTCTGAAAAGCTGCCAATTCGATTACGTGAACGTTTTACAATAATCGATAGATGAGCTTCATCCAGCAACTTAATTTCCCGCCAAACCCCTTGCAGACCTCGATGAACCTGAGAGATTACATGTGATATCTACCTACCACGAGCGCGGTGTTTCAAAAATTCCCATAATACTTACTCATTTGTAAGGCTCAGAGTAGAAATGTTCAGACAACTGTTCAGTTTCATGTCAGATTTCGTTGAGAACGTAAAGATTGTTTTAATCTACAATTTTTGTTATTCGATTTCCTTCAGTGACGTTGTTTTTCTGGAACTCTGCTGTTTGGCGTACCTCTTGGAGGCGATGTCATCAATGGAAAGCCCTCCGAACACCCAGTCGCGTTCCTTCTTTTCTCTTTGCTTAGAACCGTAAGCCTTACTTCCATTTCCATAAAACGACTTTCATATTGCAAGTGACACGCGTCTGTTTTATCGATCTCCTTGCCCAAAGGCCAGAAGGGGGGATTTCGCTGCCTAAATTTTCGCTGTGCCATCTAATAAGTGTACAGTACGTGACCCATCTCATGAAACGTTGGCCGAAATTCTGAAATGCGCTTTTGACTAGGAAGGACTAATAAGGTGGCGTTGTAAAATTAATCATCAGGGAGCATAATCATGTAGTACTTTGGACTTGCCAGGATGTCGGCTTTTGAATGAACTTCATTTAAACCTTCCCCAGAAACCGTATTCGGTAAAAAATGCATATTTAAGTAGCATGAATTCTTCACATGGATTTTCGATGGTCATATATATTCAAATATATTTTGTGGAAAAAATGCACAAAAATATGCTTTATTTTACTTGTTTGATGGAAAACCACATTGTCTCTACATTTAATAGCCGAAAAAGTGTATATTTAGGTTTTGAAAAAGTTTCCTATTTCCCGAATAATTTTGTGCCTGTTCAATCTTTGCATTAGCGTTTAGCGATTTCAGTCTACAAGCAGCATGCGTTCCGCGTAAGGAAAAGCATACATCCCT